TATACCAAATTTCTAGATATATATCTAGAAATTCATCATTTTTTAGATTTTCCAGTTTAGTAGCATACAGATTTTAAAGTATGTCCTTATGATTCTCTGAATTTCCTCAGTGTCTGTTATAATGTTTTCCCCTTTCATCTCTGATTTTATTAATTTGGGTCATCTCTTAATTGGGCTAAAGATTTGTCAATCTTGTTAATCTTTTCAATGTATCAACTTTTGTTTCACTGATTCTAATTTTTTTCTTTTCTATTTCATTAATTTCAGCTGATTTTGATGATCTCTTCCCATCTACTGTTTTGGGGCACTATCCTTGTTTTTCCAAGGCCTTCAGGTGCATCATTAAGTTATTAGTATGAGGTTTCTAATTTTTTGATGTAGGCACTTACTGGTTAAATTCTTCTCTTAGGACTGCCTTCATTTGTGTCCCAAAGTACACTGTTTTTTATTCAGTTCTAGGAATTTTAATTTCCTTCTTTATTTCCCCCTTAACCCAATTTTCATTCTGTAGTGTATTTAGTTTCCATGAGTTTGTGAACTTTCTGTAGTTCCTATTACTGTTGACATCCACTTGGATTCTTGGTACCTATAGTAGGACTAGGCATGTGGTAGTAGAATATTTGTTAAATGTATATTATAAGCTATTGTCTGTGATATCTAATTATGGATTTTTCTTTGTGAAGTTTTTGGGTTGGTTTTGTGTGTTTTTTGTTGTTTTTTGAGAGCGGGTCTTACTATATATCCCTGACTGGCTCTGACTCCCAATAATCCTGCTTTAGCCTCCTGAAAGCCATTACCACCACAGCCACATTTTGCAAGTTTCTTGTTTTGTTTTCTGAGACAGGGTCTCACTATATCTAAGTCATGCTATTCTTACCCTTGAACTTGAAATCCCCCTACCTCAATCTCTCAAGTGGCTAGGATTACAAGAATACATCACTACACCAGATTTATGTATGATATATTTTAAAATTTCAGTCACAACCATCACAGAAGCTAGTTGTAAAAGTGTGAACTGGATCCTGTGAGATGGCTCAATGAGTTACGGCACCTGCCTCCAAACCTAACAAGATGAGTTTGAACCCCATGACCCACAAGGTGGGAGAGCCAGCCAGCTCTTCCAAATTGTCCTGATCTTTAGAGACACACTATCATACACGTGTGCACACACACACACACACACAACCTCTCGGTAAATGTAATAAATTTTAAGGTATAAACTGCTTATAACCTCTGTGAGAGCCCCCATTTCTGTGTTTTTCAAAGATTTTCCCTCCAAGATAAAGACAAACACTGGATATATTCTATCACCACATTTATTCAAACTGACATCACATGGCTTCTGTTAATATACACCAAAAAGAACACAGAATTCCAAAAATGCATAGATTACAAAGAAACATCAGACAAACTCAAACTCAGGGATATTCTACAAATAAACCAGTACCTTCAAAATGTCATGCTATCAAGTACAGACAAAGGCAAGAAACTGTTCCATACTGAAGGAAACTAACAAAATAATCATGAAGTTCATAATCCCGGATCAAATCCTGGACCTACATTTTGGGGTAATTTGCAAAATTTGAATAAGGTCTGTGGAGTAGATAAATAAGTAATATTAATGTTGATTTCCTGGGTTTGATGGTATGTATTTTAAGTATTCAGGAGAGCAACTTAAATAAGAGTTTACCACAAACATACTTCCTGGTTCTATGGTACATTTGGATTAAAAGGAGCAGTTGGTTATGATTCTCAGATTTTGGATACCTGCAAGCAATCCATCATGAAAGGATTGAAAATAGGTAACGTGCTGAGGCTGAAAATTAGAATTCATTAAGCACAGTAAAAATAAGTATCATGATGGGCAGTAAAGGGACAAAGAGTTAAAGATGTAGAGGGCATACAACACTCAAGTGATCAATAAGAACACTCAAAAAGGCCAATATTAGATCTGAGAAGTAATCAAGGATGTTAAGTATAAGAGCTATAAAGGGAACAGTTTGCCCAACACCTACTGGCTTTATCATTTGTTATCAGGAGACAAAAGTTCTGGTAGTAGTGTCATTAAAACCTATCTGAGAGCTGAGAATACAACTCAGTCGTAGAGCACTTGCTTAACATGCACAAGGCCCTGGATTGAACCATAAAAAAATTAATAAAAAAAATAAATACTACAAATAAGAAACAAAATACTCAGCATGCTACAACACAGGTGACAAAAAAAAATCATGATAAATAAAACTAGGCAGGCATAAAAGACTATGCAAAGATTACCATAAAGGTGCCATTTATATGAAGTATCCAGGAAAGGCTAAACAATACAGAAACTAGAATAACGGGGGTTGCAGGGGGACTGGCTATAGCTAACCTATGCCTCAATTTTTGCACCTCATAGTTATCACAGTATAGAACGAGGCTTCCGAATGTGAAGCTCAAGGGAGACAACACAGTTAAAGCTTAGAACAATGTGCCGTACTCAAGAAGGGCTCAAAACATACATGCACGAAGCTGGGAATAATGAATCTGGGAAACAAATTGTTTTCCAGGCTTAAAGGCCTTGTTAAAAGAAACATGGAAATTGTTTAAAGTTCAGCAACAAAATAAATTTCCTTCTGAACCTAATCCTTAATCAAAGCAAACAGCTTTAAAAAAAAAAATGAACCAGTTTATAATACTTAGAACTTTACTTACATAGGGCACAAGAAAAAGGGGAAATGTTCTAAATTATCCTGGTTTTGTCCCTTAATATCTGAGTTTATTTGAATTAAGAGATTAGGAAATGCTAAGCCTCTGTACCCTCCATTTTCTTAAGTTGCCATTTGGGGGTATAATTCTGTAATTATGTGATTTTACAGCAGTTTTTCATAAAAGTCCTACACACAAAAGTCCTTTACTGAAAAGGGTCTTTCCTTTCACATTTTCATTATAGCAGCTTTTTATGATGTTCATCCTTTCAACATCCCTGTAAGTCATTAGTACTAGGGTCAAGAGTACCTACCTCACTACTCTTTCATACATTCTCCCACATTAGCCCGTCTTCACTAACACACACGATGGTACTGTAAGATGGCAAGCTACAGATGAAAAGTATGGGAGTTTTCCCTTCTGAGGAGGGGTCAGATGGTATTAAGGATTCTGCCTCCCAAACTCAATCCTTTCAAGACAGGTGAACAAGTGAAAAGCTGCTGCTCCACCACTCAACCAGGCAAATAAATGGTTGTTTAAATTTTGAAATAACTACTGATTTGAGTACAACCTGAGTATCTTTGGTTAAACTATTTTCTCACCAGCATCAACATTTACTCTCTTATTTATCATCTCTCAGGCCTTTTACAAAGTTACTTCTCTTATTATTCTGATTCTTTTTAAGTACTTCCAGAAAAGGGTTCTAACATGAGGAGAGAGTACACACAAATTTCAATATTTAATAAATTTTATCTTGATAACATCAAAACAAGTTTACACTTTAAATTGCATTATAAAAAATACATCGGTCTTCACATTAGTTTTACATGGAAATATATAATTATTTGAATATTTAAATATAGCTTTTCTTTAAGCAAAAAAAAAAGTGTTACTCAGAGCCCTAGTTACATAAATAATTTAAATGCACAAATGCAAAAAACACTCTTTACACAATATTGTCCACACACTGTATACACCAGGACAATTACAATTAAAATCTATGCAAGATACTGAAAAGGACAAGATTAACAAAATATTCATTATGGTTATAATTTGACTTTTTACTATTAAAAGAATATAATGCACTTAACTACACAAAATAACCAATTATTTCAATCTAATCTGAAAATTAAGCCAACATTTATGCAGACAAAGGGGCACATCTATCAAATTCTGAAATAATTTCCAATTTAACTTAAGTTTTACAATTTCAAGTTTCCAAACTTGCCTAAAATAATAATGAACAAGAACTTAGTAAACACTTCAAAAATGCTAAACAAAATCATCAGTTCTGTACCATATTTTCTTATTTTGGGTAACATGAATTTTAAATATGAATCTTTTTCTTGTTCTCCCTTAAAATGGCACTTAGAAGAGTCTCCAGTGTGTTAAAGAGAGCAAAATTTTTGAACTTTACATAATTTTCATATGAATTCTTGCATTTAAACTTACACTGAAAATACCAAATGTTTGTTAGTAGTACCTAAGGGAACTTCAGAAGATATTAGTACCTAAAAACAGATACTTTTACATATTGACTGTCTTGTTTACTTCCTAATCAGTTAGGTTTCTTCAAAAACTAAAATCTGGAGGGTTTTTTGATTGTTTGTTTTAAACCACTGGCCTACAGAGATTTTTTTTTTTAAGAAAGGAAATTAAAATGTTTGCATGTAAGGAGGCAAGGTTGATGAAAATATATGTTACTTGGCAACTAAAAATTACTTTTCCCACTCTGCAATACAATTGCCATTATATTAAGAAGAAATTACAATATTATCACTATTAATGTAACCACAGGTTAAATAATGGCCCCTGAAACAAAAACACATTTATAGTTCATTAATTTTAAGGTAACACATTTTTAGCTCTGAAATCAGGGCACATCTTAACACTGATTTTAGTTTCAATAAAATATAGTAGTTACACAATTCAGGGAAAATTCCTGTTTCCCTGAAATCGATGACAAAAAGATTCATGTTCTTGACTGAACACAACAGTAGGATGCATTTGTACCAGCTCAGTCAATGTTCCCAAAAAGGGTCCAAATATGGTCAAGTACCATTGGCTTACACTGTGTAGTCAAACATCTTTTATCTGAACCATTAAAAGCAATTAGGTAGTTTAAGAGAAATTATCAAATTAGTTTAAGTTTGAACTATCTAACTAGCTTAAGAAAACTAATTAGACAATTTACCATAAACTAATGTACAAAGTTTTTCACTTGCAAAATGGATCTCTACTTAGGTTATCAGTTTTACTCAATTTTTTGTAATGTTAGTTTCTCACTAATGACAATTAATGGCCTGTTCACATAATACTACCAAGCCAGTAGCTTCAGTTCAATATATTAAAATGATAGGATAATGTTTGAAATATCGAGAAACAAGGACTTAAAATTACCTGGATTTTCATATGAGACAACCAGTAAAGGTGGTTTTAAAAGCCTAATCATATTGGCAAAACATTTTTCCATGTAAGATCTAATGCTAAAGATTTATGGGTACATGTGTCCAAATGAGGAAAGTTACAGACTCAAAGATCCAATTTAAATGAAGCAGAAAGACTGTGTTGTCTGTAAAATTACCAGGCACTTTTTAAAAACTATTAAATATCATGTGGAATGCTTCTCAAAGAAAATTATATTTTTGTGATCTTTGAAGTAAATCATACTCAAACTAACACAGCACAGTATAGCTCTTTCTAATTATCCAGTTAGAATACCATATTAAAGATGCAACTTTGAAAAGCAGAATCTAGGTAAAAAGGTATCTGTCCCAATTTTTAAAGAGATGTCATCAATAAATTTGCTATATTCATTTTCTCAGTGTTTTAATTTTTGGCACAAAAGATTTTCATTTAAAAAATGAATAAGGACATGATTTAAGGGACAAATTTCCATACACTATGCTAAATTATAGGACAAATTAAGATGAAGCTCTTCTACAGAAACGGGACAACGGTTGCTTTTAAATCTTTAAAAGAATAAAAGGACCCTAAACACTAATTTTAAATGAATATAAAATCTCTGAAAAATAATATCTATAGCAAAATAGTGTAAGGTCAGTTTCCCCACTAAAGTTGGGAAAACAATGTGCACAGAAGTTCCAAATGTATTTCAGGTGAAGCACTGAATTCTCAGTTGGTTATAACAGGGGTTTCTATTTTGCCTCATTGCATCTTGATTTGCTTGCACGTCGAGTCACCATCCTATCAGCATCTGGTATGTAACATGAACTTCTCAAGTCATATTCTCTAACAGGCACAAGCCTTTTCTTTCTGCGATAGTAATTTTTACCGTAGTGCTTTCTTCTTGTAGCCCTAGCAATACGCCGAACAGGTAGTTGGGAAGAACTTGTGGTAGCTCTTGACTGCTCTTCAGCACTCGCTGGTAAAACTGAGGCATTTCGAAGCACTTCAACTGCTCTCTTCACCTCCTTTATCCTCCTGGCAACCAACTTTTTCTTCCTAAGTTGCATCCTAATAAGAGTGGTCCTAGACTGAGACCTATGATACGTAGCACCAGAATATCTGTAAACATACTTTCTAACTATATCGGTTGCTTTCATCTGAATCCAAATTGCAAGTTTTTCTGAAGTTAGTCTGGTTTTCTTCTGAAGGACCACTGTTTTATAAGCTCTTCTGATAAAGCGTGATTTGTTTCTATTTATCTTCCTTCTCCATTTTTTTCTACTTTTACCTCGAAAATACTCATTTCTAACTGATTTGGAAAAGATTTTGGCACCATTACGATTTGAAAGAGTCCGCTGGAAATTACCCTTTGAAACCTTACTGGCATTCACATCTTCTGAATTTTTGAGAAATGAAGTAGTCTGACTGGTCCTATGTAACTTTATCACAGATCTTTTCGGAATTGTCATATAAGATGTTGAAGGCAAGTTTTCTCTGTTCCCACCATTCTCTCCTGCACTGGAGCTTGGGTTACTTCCGTTAGGATCAATGTCAACTATCCCATGTCTGTCCACATCTGGCACCATTAGGTTCTGTGGAGAAGTAATTACAGTTTCCTTGCGCAATGTGTCATTAACATTGTGTTCTTTACAACTGTTTATAAATTGTACATTATTGTCACAACTATTGTGCTTCATTTTAGGGGAGTTGAAAGATCGAGCTTCTTTCATACTTAGAGAAGAAAAAATATTCACTAAGGAATCGGGCTGTACAGGCCCTGAAGCTTGAGCAGAAGCAGGAAATTCAGTTATGATTTGGGGTTTTTTTTTTTTCTGGCCATCATTTTGTAAATGCTTCCTTTTTGGTGAGTCTTCTTCTTGTCTTGGTATTTTCCTTTTCTTCCCAGAACTAGCTCGAGTTCCACGTCTGCCTTCATCCACCTGATTTGGAGAAGCCACATGCCAATGTTGTTTATAAACTCCCTCTGCTACAGAACAGGATGGTTCACCTAGGGCCACAGTAAAGTCACTAGGATTTCTAACTTCACTTTCATCAGTGTCTTTGTGATGTGAGAGAGACTGAATTGATGCAGTGTCCTGATTAAAGTCAGACCAGCTCGTATTTCCATCTTCACCCAAAAAAAATTTGGGGGCCTCAGAGTCACCATCATAGAAACTGTTGGAACAACCTTCTCTAAATTCCTGCACAGGAGTATTAGTTTTTATATCATCTTCTCTCATTTGAGACCCCACTTCTTCAATAAATGAAGGAGGGACATGAGTTGAGGCTTCAAGAACTGGTTCATCAGGATAGTCTTCTGTGACCTCTTCTGCTTCTTCCATGTAAACAGGGCTTGGGATGTATTCATACGTAGTTACTCTCAGGTCAAAGGTTACCCTCTTACGTTGGCGCTTTTTCTTAACAGGTTCTTCAGGTTGGTCAGTGTCAGACTGAAGAGAGGCATTATATTGAAAATTCAGTCCAGAACCACAAGATTCAGAATTCACAGTTTCTAGATCTGTATGTGTTAACTTCACAGTGTTGTCTTTAACAGCTGTTTGGCGTATCACTGACACAGCATAGGCTGCACGATCTACTGCACAAACACCAGATTCCCAGCTCCTATCCCGTAAGCCAACATTTTTCGGGTCTTTTTCAATCATCGGCTGAGAAGTGTCTTCCAAATTAAGGTTTCTTTCAGGACCATCAGATTCATAGTTCTTATCTTCTGGAGCAACGCAATTTTGATCAGGCCCTTGTGACTGGCAAATCATGGACTGATCAGAGACATCAACGTTAAAATTTACTTCATGACCACAAGATGGACAAGTGGAGTCTCCCAGAATAATATAATCATTCTTCCGGTTTATTATTTTGAAACTTTCTTTGGATTGATTTGTCACTGATTGAGAGGCTTCATAATCATAACCACAAAATTTACAGTAGTACTTTTCTACTGCTGTTGAACCAACAGATTCTGCACTTACATTGCTGGCTTCTTTGACAGTCATCTGAGGTGGCTCAGTTTCTAGTTCAAGAGAGATACTGGCATCAGAAATTACTTCTCGGTCACAATCACTATCACTGGACACCACGTCCACAAACACGACCTCTGGAGAATCTGCCTCTCCATCTGATGTTTGAAGCTGGTTAACTACTATCTGAAAAGAGACATCAGAATCATACACTATTTCAGAATCACTAGGTTCACTGGACTTTTCTTCCACATCAAGAAGGTTTTTCTTCTGAAGATTTGTTTCTTCACAATCCACTTGAGGTGGGTCAATTTCTGACTGCAGCTGAACACCAGAATCGTATCTCACTTCGGAACAACAGGGCTGAAAGTTCTCATTTTCTAGGTCAATATGATCCTGCTTCTGCAAATTTACTTCTTTGATAGACATCTCCTCCACAGATGGATCTGTCACAAACTGAACAGGATCATCAGAATCATAACTTGCTTCAAAATCAACTAGCTTGTAGCTCTTATCTTCCAGGTAAATATGGTCTTCCTTCAGATTCATTTCTTTGAGAGTTTTTTGAAGATGGCCAGGTACTGAATGACAAGGATCACTGGAATCAAAACTCATTTCAGGACCACAAGCATCACTGCTCTCAACTTCCAAATTGACATGTCCCTTTTGAAAACTTTGTGGTTGCTGAATCACTGAGCAAAAAGCAACATTTGAAACAGAAATTCCAGAGCCACAGGGTTCACAGTCCTTATCGTTTGAACTAACATGTCCCTCCCTCACTAAGTTCATTTCTTCAAGAGGCTCGTGAGTTGCATTAGTCACAGACAGAAGAGGTTCGTCAGAAACAAAATTTATTTCGGAATCTCTAGGTTCAATAATCCTATCTTCCAAGTCAACATCATCTCTCGAATGGTTGAGTTCCTGAGCTACTTCAGTCTGGCCAGCCACTGGCTGACTGACATCGGAATCATGTGTAATTCCAAAACCCTCAGCTTCATCCCTCTTACCTTCCATGTCAACATCTTCATCCTTCCCAAGACTTATTTTTTCACCAGTTTCATTTGGATGGTCAGCCACTGACTGAAGAAGGTTATCAGAATCAAAACTCACGTCAGAATCACAAGACCGATCACGCTTACCTTCTAGTTCAATGTGTTCCGGTGCCAAAACAGTTGTTTTAGGTGGATCAACTGTTGATTGGACCGGGAAATCAGAATCCAAATTTATTTCAGAACAGCTATTCTGGCTGTTCTCATTTTCCAAGGACATTTGATCATTATTCTCAAGGTTTATTTGTTTAAGAGCTACTTCAAGTTCATCTACTGCAGAACGAAAAGAAACATCAGAATCATGTATTACTTTTAAACCTCTAAGTTCATTATTATTGTTCAGGCCTAGAGTCTCTATTTTCCTCATGTTCATTTTTTTAACCATTTCATGATCTTGTTCAGGCAATGAATGAGGATGATCAACAGAATTAAAATTAAGTTTAGAATCACCAGGTTTGTCATTTGTGTCTTTCTGTTCAACATGGTTTCCCTTCAAGGATTGCTGAGGTTGGTTAATGGCTGAATGAAAACAACCAGCAGGGTTCACATTTACTTCAAATCCTCCAAGCACAGCACTTCCAGCGTTAGGGTCAATACGGCCCTTTTTCAAAACAGCTGGTTGAGGTTTTTCAGTCATTAACTGAGGAAAGACACCAGGATTGAAAGTCAGTTCAGAGTCACCATATTCATCACTCGTTTCTACAAGATGCTTTGTCTTTCTTTTTGCTTTTTTACCTACATAGGGTTCTGTTACCGGAGGAGGGACAGCAGAATCTGAGTTTTTTTCAGAACCACTACTACACTGAACACTTTCACCTTGTAAGTCAGCATGCTTTTCTGTTTGAGGAGAGACATTTTTGACAACTACTTCACACTTACGAATAACTGATGGGAAAGGGATAGGAGAATCCACTCTTGTTTCAGAAACACACAACACATTACTCATATTTCCTAAGGGCACATGTTCTTCTTTCTGAGAGCTTATGTCTGCAATGGGATCTTCAGAACGTCCAGGCTTTGAATTAAAAGTGTCACAATCCAAACTTGGTTCAGAACTGGTAGGCTCATGTTCCTTATTTTTTATGTGTGCCTGCTCTTCTTTTGGGGGATTTATCTGTTTAACAGCTACTTCATGAGAATTAGTCACTGAATGAAGAGGGGGATTAGAATCCAAATTTATTTCAGAACCACTGGGACTGTCACTCTTCCTTTCTAAGTATGCGTGCTCTTCTTCCTGAATGATTACTTCAACAGCTACTTCAAGGTGGTCATTTCCTGAATGAAGAATATCAGAACCAAAAGTTATTTCAGAAACATAAGATTCATTACTCTTATTTTCCAGACCAACAGGTTCCTCCTCATAAACAGCTACTTGAGGTTGGTCAACTACTGAGTATTCAGGAATATCAGAATCAAAAGTTATGTCAGAACTACTTGATTCACAGCTCTCATCTTCCAGGTTAAAGTCATCTTCGTTTATTTCATCAACATCCAGCAGAGACCGCTCAGTAACTGACAGAAGAGGAGAATCAGAATCAAATGTCAACTCAGAACTGGAGCACCCACTGCTCTTAACTTCCATGTCGACATTTAACTCGTTAAGATTTACTTCACCCCAAGCCCCTTGAGGTTGATTGTTAGCTGACTGATAAAAAGCATGAGAATCAAAACTTAGGTTAGAAATGTTAGAGTGAACACTCTGATTCTCAAGGTCAAGATCTACTTCCTCAGGATTTACTTCAACTGCTACTTGAGATTGATCAGCCACTAATTGAGCATCAGCATGAAAACCCATTTCAGGACCATGAGACTCACAGTTCATATCACCAAGGTCAGGATTCCTCTCTTGTGGAAGATTTATTTCTTCAGCATCTCTCTGGGGTTCATCAGCCACTGTCTCAAGATGTACTCTAGCACTACTGGGTTGATTATTGTTTAGGTTGGCAGGTCTATCTCTTAGGCTTCTTTCTTTGACAGGCATTTGAGGAGACCGATCACTATCAGAACTTGCTTCAAAACTACTCGATCCATAGTTGTCAACCAAGTTTGCCTGAGCCTTCCTTCGAAGTTTCTTCTGTCTAGCCGCTGCAGGTCCAGCAGTTGAGGCAGCAGAACCATCACTTGCTTCACAGCTGCTAACTCCATAGTTGCCATCAACCAAACCAACATGTACCTTCTCCAGGAGGCTTGCTGCATGTACAGACTCAGGGGGGCAGTCACTAGTTGATGGAAGTGCATCATCGTCAACAAAATTTGTTTCAGAGTCACTAGAATCATAGCTTTCATCAACAAGGCTAATGTGCTTTGCATTCTGATGAGGTGTTTCTCTAACAATCACTGGACAAGGGTTGATAACCACCCAACGAGAATTGTTGCCATTATTATCAGAAGTTATTCTAGAAACACCAGATTTCTTGTTCTTCTGTTGTGAATTAGCATGTCTTTCCTCTAAAGCATTTATTTCTCTGGCAGTCAGTTCAGATGCAGCAGATGGTGAATTACAAGAGGACCCACAATCAAAACTTAGTTCAGAAGCTCTAGTTTCATAACTGTCATCTTCTTGGTCAACAAGCTCCTCAAAAACCTGTAAGTCTCGTACAGCTGCATGGGATGGACCAGGCATTGGCTGCCGGGAGCCATGATAGAATTTCATTTCAGAACTCACTGAGCGTCTCGGTTTCAAAAGTGCTGACTTGTTAAGAACCAAACGCTTTTCTTCTTGGGTGCAACGCATACTTGAACGAGATTCTTCACGGCGCTTTGGAATGGCACCTTCAACAGCTCCATTAGCATACGGCGTGTCAGTTTTATTCAGGTTTGCTTCTGCATTTGCTGCTAATTCAGAAGATCCAACTCTTATGGCACGAAGCTCAGCACCTGTAAGTTCACGGACTCTTACAACAGGGAAAAATTTTGCACCCTTAGCTCTGAGATTTTTCTGTGCAAGCAGTTTATCTAAATTTATATTTAAAGGTTTCTTTTTGGGGTCTTTAGCTTTTGGTTGAGATGATGGATTGCTAGGGCCCTGATCTGGGGGGTCAAAGTATGTGTCAAGGTTCTCTGAATCACAAGCTGGAAACGAATCTGATGCAACTGCCAGTACCAACCGAGGAACACTGTTAGCTGCAACTGCTATATCATCAGGCCTTCTAGGTACAGCTCTAGCAGGAGCATTACAGATCACTGGGGGTCGTATCACCCTTTTACCGCTAGTTGAAGCCTGACCAAGATCTACTGAATTAATTATGTTCACACCACTCTCAATTCTATGAACAACCTCCAAGGGCTGCTGCTGTCCCCCCTCCAGTTTCTGAATAACCGATGGTCGAACTGCAATCTCTGCACACTCCCGAGAAGTACTAGGTCTACAGTCTATCTCTTCAACAGATTCCGAATCATCGGAGAACAGGATTCTACTGCTCCCTATACTGACGGCATCATCATAGTCTTCATCATCAGAGTCATCCAAAACAACCACTTCAGGTGATCCAGGGTCATCTTCTTCTTCTGTCTCATCTGCTCCTGATCTAAAGAAAATGAGGAAAAACCCCATTGAAATATTCTAATTTTTGCTTAAGACACATGTTATTTTCTTTCTATTCTGGGCTATTCTTAGAGGACAAGGAATACCAGCAATTATACCAGACTTTATGAAGTTAATTGGCCTAGAAGATGAAGTTAAGTCCACCAACTGCTATTTCATAAACAAGTGGGTTCTGAATGTGACAAAAATGCAAATGAAGCCATGTGTTCATTTTTCAGTTATCACAGTAAACACAATTAGTTAGCACAAATACATTGGGTACAAAATCCATACATAATATTGGGAAAATAACAACCAAACTGTCCCACTAAAACAGTAAATAGAATAATTTTTTTTTTAAATAACCAATGAGCTGGGTATGGTGGTGCACGCCTTTAATTCCAGCACTTGGGAGGCAGAGGCAGGCGGATCTCTGTGAGTTCAAGGCCAGCCTGGTCTACATAGTGAGTTCCAGGACAGTTAGGGCTACAGGGAGACCCTGTCTCAACAAAGACCGAAAAAAGAAAAACCAAAAAAAAAATATTGAATAGAAAACAAAAATAAAGCAAGACCTGATTATTAGGAAGGTTAGAACAGTAGGAAAACCCACAATGTCCAGACACAGGAGAAGAGAGGAGGGAAAAAATATTTTTTTAAGTCACAAACTCTCTAATTTGCAGAACATATAAAGTAATATAACCTTGGTAAGGAAATTTTAAAAACTAAAAGTACAAAATGGAATTAAAGAGTGCACATACACACACACATACACACCAGGAATCAGGTTCTTTTGTAGATGCTGACATTTTATATCAGTAGGAATAATTAGCTATATTTACAAAAAATTAAGTACAGTACAGCCTAAAATTATACTGAAAAAATTCCAGGGTGTTTAAAAATATATGAAAGAGAAACATAAGCATAAAGACAACACATAAGGGTTAAGTTACAGCTCAACATTTAGGGTGCTTGTCTAGCACATGCAAGGCCCTAGGTTTGATCAGCAGTGAAGGGGCAGGAGGAGGGGAGGAGGAAGACATATAAAAGAAACCATAAATTCTCCTTATATTCAGTTATGTTAAAATGTTTAATTTCTAAAAATAAAGTTTAATTTCTATATGAAAAAAAGAATAATTTTTTATAGTTGAAACACAACATAGCAGATTATAAAAACAATTGTAGTTAGATATAATACTGCATGCTTATAAGCCAGCACTCAGGAGGATGAGGCAGAAAGACTGTTACAATAAGTATGAGGCCATCCTGAGCTTCACAGTGAGCACCAGGAAAGCCTGAGCTAGATAGGAAAACCCTGTCAAGGTAAAAAGTGCTTACAGATGTAAAATATACAAACAAATCATTAGAAAAGGCCAATTAAGAGGCATACTTTTTTGGTTCAGGAAACTAGAGAAAATGGAGAGAGGCTGAGAACCCCTGCATTGTTAAGAGTGACAAGAAAGGAGCACACTCACACACTACTGTCCTGAGTATAGTCTTCTAGGAACTGTCTATCAAGGATTTTAAATGTCCATGTACATGGACTCGAGAAATGGCTCAGCAGTTAAGAGTGCTTCGTGTTCTTCCAGAGGACCTGAGTTCAATTCCAAGTACCCACAATCACTTGTAAGTCGAGCTTCAGGGAATCCAACGCCCTCTTCTGGCCTCTGCAAGCATTCACACACGTGACATGCATTTACACACATGACATATACTCACACAGACATACACATAAAATTTTAAAAAATCAATATAAATAGCTGGGCATGGTGGAGCACGCCTTTAATCCCAGCACTCAGGAGGCAGAGGCAGACAGATCTCTATGAGTTCAAGGCCAGCCTGGTCTACGGGTGCACTTACCTACATGCAGGCAATACACGCATACACATAAAATAAAAATAATAAAAAAATTTTAAAAATCAAAGTAAATAAATATTAAAAAACAAAAAATACATTGTCCATGCACAATTTGAATAACAAATAATAACAGGTTAAAACTCAAATGAAAAAATATCTGTAGGTTTATAGTTATACAAATTAATAACTGAATAAATAAATGGGGGAACAAGTAAAATTATTTTCCTGGTAGAATTCTGATTAATAAAAGTTTCTTTTAGGAAAAGAAAAAAAATTAATGGATATTTAAAATAAATGGTCAAAAAAAGAGAAACAGGATACTTACTAGTTTCAAATTCTTACCTAAACGACTTTTATTAAGTATAACAGGAAAACATACGTTTACAGTCAAATAAGTTTCCGGCCGCCACTTTAGTCAAGTGAGGAAGCCCAGTTAACATAGTCAATGAGAAGAGAAAAAGAGGACTAGCAGGTGGCAGGGACAAGACAGGGTAGTGTCTCCAGCCATGAAATATGTCGACATCATGTGCCCTTTATCAATACACCCAAAGGGCACAACCTCAATTCTGAAGTATTACTGCCCTAAAGGCATAATCTTAGTTCATTCATGAGAAAACATTAGACAGGCCCAAATCAGAAAATAATCTATAAAATAAGTAGTCAGTACTCTTAAATTGTCAAGGTATTAAAAGTAAATAAATAATAAGGAACCAGTTAAGATGAAGGGAGACTCAGGAGACATGACAACTGAATGCAGTGTGTGAGCCAGGTTTGATCCTGGTCCAAAAGCAAGACAACAGCATGATGGACAGACTTTAAACAAGATCTACAGACATGCTAATGGCAGGCATATCACTATGACTTCCTAGTTTCGATCACTGGGCTACAGTTATTTTGGTTTTTGATGTAAGAATTTTTTGTATCAGTTTTGCATCATTTTTGTAAGCCAGCTATTACTCCAAAATGAAAAGTTAAAAAGTAAAGACTTTTTAAACTCTAGCCCAGAAATTCAAATCCTAGGAAATTAAACTACAGAAATAGCCGTGCAAACATATTTACTGAAGAACTGTTTATGAGGTTTACAAATCATTTCCAGACTAGACTAGCCCTGGGCTATACAGCAAGACAAGAGGGGAAGAGGAAGTCAGAACATTAACACAAACACATCTACTATAATACAAAACACTATATTGATGCTCCACTGAGCTACCTTACCTGTTGTCTTGATAATCATATGGGTGGTGTCGAAGTACATCCTGCAAGAAACGTTCCATCAAAGTATTATTATTGGTAGGTGTCTGACGTCTACTCTGTCTGGTCATACTTCTGTGCTGAGCACTGAACAAATGCTATAAAGGAAGAGGAAAGTGACTATTTTTAGGTGAGTAATAGTCATTCATAGTTAACACAGGATGGGCTCACTTGTATAGTCCTGGAAGAAGTAGGGACACCCTTCCTTTCCATACAGCATGTCTAATACATACATCTAAAACTGTGACAGTTTCTCCCCGTTAGAAATCGTAGTTAAATATCTCTAAATATATCCTAAGGAGATCGTCTTAAATGTAGATAACTTATACCAAAAAGGATGTTTAACACAGCAAATAACAAAAAAAAAATGAAAACTCCTTCTCTTACAATAAAATACTTAAATTATAATATACACTAAGATGAAATACTATGCAGCTACAATAAAAAAATCAGTAACATAAAGCAATATTATACATTAAAAGAAAATTGACAAATCAAAAAAAAATCATATGTAAGCCTTTACCTCAAACTATGTACCTTCAAAATGTACAGACAAGTAAATGGAAGAAAATGTACTAAAATCTTATAAGTAGTTATATATGTGATATGGTTATGGCTAATTTCTAATTTTCCTCTTAAAATTTTTATATTTTTCAATGAGCATTTTTATAATAAATGTGAAAAGAGAGAACAGGGTTGGATTCTTGTAGCAAAAAAGAACAAAGATTAACTCTCACACACACACGCACACACGCAAAAAATTTATTTTCCTTCAGTGATTAAGAATCTTCTCAGGTAGAGTATTAGAATAAACATTAAATTGTTCAGCTTTAACCAGAGACTAATATCTAGTGGATTAACAAATGGGGTGGGAAAAAGAACTAATCAGACTGACATGATGCTATCTCACACACAGTGTTTGACTGTGTATACAAAAATCTCATTGACTTTTCACTCAGTTAAGAATAGTGCCCTCTTTTGACATGAAGAAAGTGGGGCACAAAAAAAAAAAAAAAAAAAAAAAAAAAATCAAGAGTAAATTGCCCAAAGTTCTGTACCTAGTGAACAGCAGAGCCAGGGTCTGGACTGAGTCCACCTCTAGTTTATGTGCTTTTCTCTGGAGCATGGCTAGCACAAATGACATTAATAGCCACCTGTGTCTTTATAATGTAAAAGCATATTTTAATTTAACAATACTTGAGAAAAATCATGTTTTATTATATACCGTAACTAAGGTGCTGAAAGAAAAATAGATTGCTAGCTCCTGACCACTGCTACAACTTCTTGGGGTTATTTCCTCCCATTTCAACCTCAGAATTTTTCTGTAATGCTACCTTAGCTGAGGAACAATCAAGTATGATAGTTTAAAAATCCTCCTGCTCTAGAACTCCAGCACTGTCTGGTATCTATCACCAGAGCTAGACTGCTGGTAGATCAAGAGGACAAGTGTGTACAGGAACAAATAAAGATTCAATCAAAACCCAACCTTGTCCTCTCTCTGCTAAGACCAAAAAAAAGCAATGTGAATGGCAAACTGCATGTATGTAGTATGTAAAGTGCAGTAACCACCACAGTACCTTAGATGAGTTCCTTTAAAAATTTTGAACTTATATATGTAACATAAATAAAATACACAAATCATATGCATAAAGCCCATTAAACTGTCACAAAACAAATATAAACATAACCACCTCTCCGTGAATATAAGCACCTACAAATCCCTCTAATGTCCCATGCCAATCTAATGTTCCTTCACTCTTCCCACAGAATAACTATCATCCTAATTTTAATACTGTATAGTTGTGAAAGGTTCTGAGATTTTTATGAATAATATCACACATCATGAGTTCCTTCATCAGCTTCTCTGATTCAACACTGCATTTATGATATTCTTCAAAATTAGCTGTAGTCTGTTCATCTTCATGCCTGTACTCCATTGTATGAACGTATTATTTTATCCATTCTGCAGCTGATAGACTCTGGGTTGTTTCCAGCATTTGAAAATTGCAAATAATGCCGCAAAGAACCTTGTTATGTCTTTTAATTTCAATGCAGACTTTTTGTTGAGTATATTACTAGGAGTAGAACGTCTGGGTCAGAAAGTACAACTTTAGTACCTAGTCTTCTGAAGAGGTTGAAACAATGCATGCCTCTCTCAGCAATGTATCTTTGCATTGCTCAACTTTCTCACCAACACTTGGTAGTGTCAGTCTTTTAAATTTTAGCTATTGCAGAGATGTTCAATGTAATATACTGTGTCCTTAATCTACAATTTTCATAGTTGTTTTGTTTTGTCTGTTTTTATAGGCAATCCAGATACCCTCTTTAATGATGGGCCATTCAAATCTCTTCATTTTTTTTTTAAGACAGGGTCTTGCTACTTCACCCAGGCTGGCCTGGAACTCACTATGTAGCCCAGGCTAGCCTTGAACTTGGGATCCTCCTATCTTGGCCTCCAAGTGTTAGGATTACAGTCATGTGCCACCATGCCTAGTACCACTTCTTGTTTTTCAAACAGTTCTCTTCCTTATTAACCTCCAGAAATTCCTTATTTTAGACACAACCCCTTTGTTCATCTTCCTCTCTGTAGCTAGTCTTCTCCCTTTCTTAATTATCTTCCATTGTTTCTTAACTTTATTGTAACCCAGCAAATTATTTTTTTCTTTTTCAGTGCTTTGTGTACCCAGAAAGGTTTTTCTTATACCAGTCATGAAGAGTTTCTATTTGTTTCTAGAAGCTTTATTATATTACCTACATTTACAACTATAATTCACTCAGAATTATTTTACATGCAGAATATTTAACAATAGTTTCACTTTTCCCCAAAGAGATATCCAGTGGACCCAACAGCATTTACTGAACAGTCTTGTCCTCAGTGCTTTGCAGTATCACCTTCATCACAAATCAAATATCCATGTCCATCTGGTTCTAGAGGTTATGCCAAGTCTGTGTTGTCTTAATGACTAGAGTTTAAAAAGTTTTGATATCTGACAGAATACATCCTTCTCGCTCTGATCTTCTTTAAGATTATCTAATTCTTCACAACCTTTTCATTTCTATTTATTTTTATATTGGCTTAATTTTCACTGAAATTCCTGAGATTTTCACTGGAATTTCATTGGACAAGTTCAACAGTCTGAGACTGACATGTTTGTAATATTGACTCTTTCAATCCATGAACACAAAAACATTTTCAATGTTTATTGGATCCCTCTCCCACCCAGTGCTGGGGATTAAACTCAGGGCCTCAAGTATGCTAAGAAAATGCTCATCACTGAGCTAAATCCCCAGGCTTCAATCTTCATAGATTGTATATAAAGATCTTACACATAGTTTACTGTAAGAATTCTTTAGCATTTTATGTTCTCTAGTGCTATTATAAATTATATCTTCTTTAAATTTCATTTTCTGCATGGTATTTGCTTATACAAATAGAATTTTTTTCTACTGGTGGTTTTTGCTGTTGTTTTATGTTTTGTTTCTTTTTTTAAGCTAGTCTCCCCATTTTGCCCTAGCTGGTCTCAAACTCACAGGCAGAAATCAAAGGATCCTCCTGCCTCAGCCTCTTCAGTAGTTAGGACTACAGGCACATAGTGCCACATCTGGTTCTAAACTGGCTTTTTAAACTCACTAAGTCTAATAAATTATCTGTCTTTTAATTTTTCTATGTTCACAAATCATGTTATAATAAATAATAGTTTTTTTATCTTCTTACAACCAATTATCTTAATCATTTTGTTCTTTTTTTTTTTTTTTTTTTTTTTGAGGCAGGGTCTCCCTATAGCCCCAGCTGGCCTGGAACTCACTATGTAGACCAGGCTGGCCTTGAACTCACAGAGATTCACCTGCCTCTGCCTCCTGAGTGCCAGGATTAAAGGTGTGCACCACCATGCCCAACCATTTTGGTCATTTTTAATCTCCTTTTTCTCCTTATTTCTGTAGCTAGGACCACCCATAAAATACTAAATATAGTTTTATTTTCCTTTTCTTTTTGCATTTCTGGGGATCATCCACAGCTTCATATATGCTATGCAACTGCTCTACCATGGAAGTAAACACATATGCACACACAGAGTCACTGAATATAGTTTTAATTCAAGTATTAAGTCTATTTTCACTTAATACAGCACTTGGGGATACTTGGATTTACCTCTTTTTCTTTTTAAATCTGTTATTCTCTGTCTTCTTTCTTGCCTTCTTCTAACTACACTTTATTATATTATTCTAATTGGCTCCTTTTTGTCAATTTAGAAATTACAGACTCTTTTCCTAGTCTATTAGTAGTAACAAATGACAACGACCAACTATGAACTATCAAAGTCTAAAATTACTTGATATTTTAGTCTCTCCCTTGAAGAAGGTAAGATCCTTAGAAATTAACTTCACTTACTACCCTCCCAACTTACACTGCTATTAATCCCAGACAACATTATTTATGGAGATTGCCTACATATTTACCTTTCCGTTGTTAATCCCAGACAACATTATGGAGATTGCCTACATATTTACCTTTCCATTGTTCTTCATTACTTCCTGATATCTCTGAGCTTCCATCTGGAATCATTTTCCTTCTGCCTGAAGAACTCCTTTTAGTTTTTCCTTTAGTGAGGGTCTGCTGGTGACAAATTCCCTTAATTTTTGTTTCCTGAAAATATTTTTATTTTACCTTACTTTTAAAAGATATACTTATTGAGTAGAGAACCCTAGGTTGGCAGTTGTTTTCTTTCTTTTGGCTTCCATTGTTTCTATTGAATACTTGACTAGATCTAAGCCCCCATACTTCTTCACTGCCTTAATAGTTTTCCAAAGCCTTGAAATATATATACACATATATATATATATATTTTCCAAGCTTTCAGAGTTAATATAAATTATCCTGGCTGTCATCAACAGAATCTTTTTAAATGTCAATTTGGTACAGAGTATCCAAACGAATAAAAAATATTTTAAATATTAGGCAAAAAAAAAATGCACTCAACATTTATTGAACAGAACCTGTAGTTAAAGAACTGATGTTTTATCACTGGCAAAGGTTCAACAAGTAATCTTCCAGTCAAATAATGAAACAATTCATCAATCATGAGACACTAAAAGAGTCTTGATTTATTTTCTGCCTCCTCATGTTTATGACCAGCA